TTTTATTAGTGACAGACTGTGTCACCTTGTTATCTCATTATTGTTTGGAATCAACAAAGCCTCAGTGACAGCTCTATCATATGTGTTAGTTTGTATACTTCTATCATGTCTCCTCTCAATCCTCTGAGCCTCAGTGTCGGTAAATTAAGGATCCTTAGCCTGTATTCATAACTTAGATCTAGTTTGTATACTTCTATCATGTCTCCTCTCAATCTTCTGTGCCTCAGTGTTGGTAAAATAAGGATCCGCAGCCGGTTTTCATAGCTTAGATATTTCATTGCTGCTATTTGTTTTGTTGCTCTACTTTGCATGTTTTCTATCTCACTTGCATCTTTTAGCAGATAAGAGTTCCATTAGCAGGCCCCATATTGAAGTGTGGGCATACAAGTGCTTTGTATAAAAGAAAGAACAACTTATTGTCTGATTACATGTATGTACTACAGATAGTGTCCATTATTCCATTGGCTTTATTGACTAGATCATCAAAATATTGGTCGAAATTGAGGTTGTTGTCAGTTTTAATCCTCATATCCTTTTCTTCTGTCACAAACTCTAATGTGATCTTGGTTCTTCCATTTCCCTTGTCTTAACACCAATGTCATTTGGTTGTCATGGTAACCATATAAGACATACAATAAGAGGGATATTGTCCTAACTTCTTTTCATCTTTGGCACAAATTTTAATGAAACTTCAGGTATACAATAATATTATGGATCATATGAAGATGTGTGTAGATGTTTGCAAAATGTTTGGTTGCCTCTTTATGTAGATCCTCTTTACATATGTGTTTGTGTATTGGCCAATAGTCCTTAAGTCTTTAGAACAGTATTTTTAAAACTAATAAATTGTGGTACTTCTCAAAGCGGATGTTTGACACATCAAATGTTTCCAGAATTGTTAGTGTGGAAACAAAATGGAAGCTCCTGATTGATAGAAATGAGATATTGTTTGTCAATGAACTTTTTTTGACTTAGACAATGTACATATCATGATGTAGCATGGTCTGATTGATTCTTTTATCAATTCCATTTTACTTTCTTTTATATCTGTGTTTAATGGTTGGAAGTCGGATGATTTTTTAATCTCAAGTGTTAGGAAATATTAATTCTCAAATGAGCCACATATGGAATTGACTTTGTAATCTGTTGTAAGAAGATGGGAAATGACAAGAGAATGGTACATGTCTAATGTGACTGAAAGAAAAACAATTAATGTGTAATGTTTCCACATCTACAGCGAGTCTCAGATACACAGTTCTACTTAGTTGTGAAGGGAGTATTAGTTATCATCAGTTCTAGTTAGTACTGTAGGGAGTATTAGTTATCATCAGTTCTAGTTAGTACTGTAGGGAGTATTAGTTATCATCAGTTCTAGTTAGTACTGTAGGGAGTATTAGTTATCATCAGTTCTAGTTAGTACTGTAGGGAGTATTAGTTATCCGTTCTAGTTAGTACTGTAGGGAGTATTAGTTATCATCAGTTCTAGTTAGTACTGTAGGGAGTATTAGTTATCAGTTCTAGTTAGTACTGTAGGGAGTATTAGTTATCATCAGTTCTCAGTTAGTACTGTAGGGAGTATTAGTTATCATCAGTTCTAGTTAGTACTGTATTAGTTATCATCAGGTTAGAGTATTAGTTATCATCAGTTCTAGTTAGTACTGTAGGGAGTATTAGTTATCATCAGTTCTAGTTAGTACTGTAGGGAGTATTAGTTATCATCAGTTCTAGTTAGTACTGTAGGGAGTATTAGTTATCATCAGTTCTAGTTAGTACTGTAGGGAGTATTAGTTATCATCAGTTCTAGTTAGTACTGTAGGGAGTATTAGTTATCAGTTCTAGTTAGTACTGTAGGGAGTATTAGTTATCATCAGTTCTAGTTAGTACTGTAGGGAGTATTAGTTATCATCAGTTCTAGTTAGTACTGTAGGGAGTATTAGTTATAAGTTCTAGTTAGTACTGTAGGGAGTATTAGTTATCATCAGTTCTAGTTAGTACTGTAGGGAGTATTAGTTATCATCAGTTCTAGTTAGTTCTGTAGGGAGTATTAGTTATAAGTTCTAGTTAGTTCTGTAGGGAGTATTAGTTATCATCAGTTCTAGTTAGTACTGTAGGGAGTATTAGTTATCATCAGTTCTAGTTAGTACTGTAGGGAGTATTAGATCAGTTCTAGTTAGTACTGTAGGGAGTATTAGTTATCATCAGTTCTAGTTAGTACTGTTGGGAATATTAGTTATCATCAGGATGACAGTTCTAGTTAGTACTGTAGGGAGTATTAGTTATCATCAGTTCTAGTTAGTACTGTAGGGAGTATTAGTTATCATCAGTTCTAGTTAGTACTGTAGGGAGTATTAGTTATCATCAGTTCTAGTTAGTACTGTAGGGAGTATTAGTTATCATCAGTTCTAGTTAGTACTGTAGGGAGTATTAGTTATCATCAGTTCTAGTTAGTACTGTAGGGAGTATTAGTTATCAGTTCTAGTTAGTACTGTAGGGAGTATTAGTTATCATCAGTTCTAGGGAGTTAGTACTGTAGAGTATTAGTATCATCAGTTCTAGTACTGTAGGGAGTATTATCATCAGTTCTAGTTAGTTACTGTTCTAGTATTAGTTATCATCAGTTCTAGTTAGTACTGTAGGGAGTATTAGTTATCATCAGTTCTAGTTAGTACTGTAGGGAGTATTAGTAGTTCTGTAGGGAGTATTAGTTATCATCAGTTCTAGTTAGTACTGTAGGGAGTATTAGTTATCATCTGTAGGGAGTATTAGTTATCATCAGTTCTAGTTAGTACTGTAGGGAGTATTAGTTCTAGTTAGTACTGTAGGGAGTATTAGTAGTTCTAGTTAGTACATCAGTTCTAGTTAGTACTGTAGGGAGTATTAGTTATCATCAGTTCTAGTTAGTACTGTAGGGAGTATTAGTTATCAGTTCTAGTTAGTACTGTAGGGAGTATTAGTTATCATCAGTTCTAGTTAGTACTGTAGGGAGTATTAGTTATCATCAGTTCTAGTTAGTACTGTAGGGAGTATTAGTTATCAGTTCTAGTTAGTACTGTAGGGAGTATTAGTTATCAGTTCTAGTTCTAGTTAGTACTAGTTGTAGGGAGTATTAGTTAGTTCTAGTTATCAGTTCTAGTTAGTACTGTAGGGAGTATTAGTTATCATCAGTTCTAGTTAGTACTGTAGGGAGTATTAGTTATCATCAGTTCTAGTTAGTACTGTCGGGAGTATTAGTGTGAAGTTCTAGTTAGTACTGTAGGGAGTATTAGTTATCAGTTCTAGTTAGTACTGTAGGGAGTATTAGTTATCATCAGTTCTAGTTAGTACTGTAGGGAGTATTAGTTATCATCAGTTCTAGTTAGTACTGTAGGGAGTAGGGAGTACTGTAGTTAGTACTGTAGTATTAGTTATCATCAGTTCTAGTTAGTACTGTAGGGAGTATTAGTTATCATCAGTTCTAGTTAGTACTGTAGGGAGTATTAGTTAGTTCTAGTTATCTGTAGGGAGTATTAGTTATCAGTTCTAGTTAGTACTGTAGGGAGTATTAGTTATCAGTTCTAGTTAGTACTGTAGGGAGTATTAGTTATCATCAGTTCTAGTTAGTACTGTAGGGAGTATTAGTTAACATCAGTTCTAGTTAGTACTGTAGGGAGTATTAGTTATCATCAGTTCTAGTTAGTACTGTAGGGAGTATTAGTTATCAGTTCTAGTTAGTACTGTAGGGAGTATTAGTTATCAGTTCTAGTTAGTACTGTAGGGAGTATTAGTTATCAGTTCTAGTTAGTACTGTAGGCAGTATTAGTTATCAGTTCTAGTTAGTACTGTAGGGAGTATTAGTTATCATCAGTTCTAGTTAGTACTGTAGGGAGTATTAGTTATCATCAGTTCTAGTTAGTACTGTAGGGAGTATTAGTTATCATCAGTTCTAGTTAGTACTGTAGTTGGAGTATTAGTTATAGTTCTAGTTACTGTAGGGAGTATTAGTTATCATCAGTTCTAGTTAGTACTGTAGGGAGTATTAGTTATCATCAGTTCTAGTTAGTACTGAGTATTAGTTATCATCAGTTCTAGTATTAGTTATCATCAGTTCTAGTTAGTACTGTAGGGAGTATTAGTTATCATCAGTTCTAGTTAGTACTGTAGGGAGTATTAGTTATCATCAGTTCTAGTTAGTACTGTAGGGAGTATTAGTTATCATCAGTTCTAGTTAGTACTGTATGGAGTATTAGTTATAAGTTCTAGTTAGTACTGTAGGGAGTATTAGTTATCATCAGTTCTAGTTAGTACTGTAGGGAGTATTAGTTATCATCAGTTCTAGTTAGTACTGTAGGGAGTATTAGTTATCATCAGGTTGACAGTTCTATTTAGAAGTGGTAGAGATGAAACTGTTTTGGAGCTTTTAAGGGTGTCAAATGTCAATATCAAAATTTTGTCAAATGACAATGCTATATGATAAAGAGAATTCTGTAAATTTGAACCAGTCCCACAGAAAAATATCTGAATTAAAAAATGACTGAAACTTTATAACTTTGAAACTAAAACGTCTTTTAAACTTGATTTGCTTTGAACATTTATACAATATATCAGAACAGGTGGGTTTTTTTTTAAATCCGAGATAGTCATGATCAGTAGTTAGAGATTGAGAAATTCCAATGCATATGTGTTGATTCGTTTTAAAATGGCGGGTTTTGTCTGACTACAGATATTTTGTTTAATTTTAATTTTTGATAATACAGTGTTTCGTCGCTCATGATGTATGACATCAAAGAAGAATTGAATGACGTCATCCTGTATTGCTGGAAACGACCAGCGTCTGTTTCCTGTAAAAACTACGTCCTCGTCGGACCATAGGAGAGATGTAAACTCAAGTGAAAGTACCAAGTGTACCGGAATCATAAAGGCGCTTTACACGTATGTAAATCAAAGTGATGACTTGGGATTGGTGAACATCCATTGTTGAGAGAAATTTGATGATCAGTCGGTTTGATGACTGCTGAAACAAGAAAGAGTCAGTCATGAAGACAAATCGGACAAAGGGAACGAAGGAGAGAGGGAAAAACAAGGAAACATATGCTAATTGTGTTGACTGGGAAGGAAAACGACCAAGGACCAAAAGAATCTCACGTGTTGGCGCCAGAGGAAGGTCAGACGGATTAAAGAAAGGTGACAGAAAGGTCAAGGCTGTTGCTAAAGGTGAAGAATGTTCGGATATAACTGACGAAGTTATTCACTATACATGTGATCTTTGTCAAAGAGTGTTTGATTCCAGTTTAGGTTTAAACAGACACATTCGAGCTCATAAATCAAAGCAATATAAATGTGATACATGTGGCAAAGTATTTCGTCGTCAAAGTTCTTTACGCAAACATGGTGTGTTGCACTCGGACGACAGTCCGTACAAGTGTCTGACATGTGGAAAAACCTCAAAGTCCAAGGAACGTTTTACTCTGCATTTGAGGACACATTCAGGGGTCAAACCTTACCAGTGTGATATTTGTGGAAGAAATTTTACACAGATTGGAAATTTAAGATTACACAAAAAGAATGTCCATGCGCCAGAAAGTATCTTTAAATGTGATATTTGTTTGATTGAATTCGAGCAAAACAGAGATTTGATTTCTCATGTTTTGACTCATAACGATGGTAAAATTCTGAAATGCTTCGAATGTGGTAAGATGTTTGGGACAAAAGAACACTTTGAGAAACACAAAGATCTTCACAAGGAAACTCGGCCGTTTAATTGTGATATTTGTGGGAATACCTACAAAAAGAACTCTGATTTAAAATGTCATCTCGAAACGCATAATACGGCACAAGGTTATGTCTGTGATGTATGTGGGCGTGGCTTCAGCTACAAGTCGTCGCTAAAATATCATCAAAGGATTCACACGGGAGTCAAGCCATATACGTGTGATATTTGTGGAAAGGCGTTCCGAACGTCATCGAATAGAAGCAAGCACATGTTGAGTCATACCAATTACAAACCGTTCAGTTGCGATCAGTGCCCCAAGGTTTTCCGGGACAATCGTGCTTTAGTAATTCACAAACGAACGCACTCGGGGAATAGGCCATATCAGTGTTCACAGTGTTTCAAAACGTTCATTGTTCAATCCGAATTGAACAGACATCGGAAGAACGTTCATCAGAATGCTGTAGAACGTGGTCAGGTCAATGGTAGAGCTGCAGACAAGACTCTGTCGAAATCATCTAAGGATACCTTGTATGAACAAAGAGATTCAACGACATGTGACTCTGTTCGTGATAACACGATAAAAGATAGGATTGCTGGAGATAATACTGGCGTCCAATCATCAGTAGATCTTCAACAATGCGTCAGAGATGACTCGGCCGTTATTTTGCCTGGAATACCTGTTATAAGCTCAAGTCATGTACCCATATCGTCATATCTTGACAGAGATAACGTCCAACGTACCGACCGTAATATTTTAGGTGAGTGTGGAATTTCAAATATCTGCCAATACGAAGTACTTCCAAATAACGCCAGTGCTAATGTATATGGTTACGTAAAAGATACATTTGTAGCAGACAACAAAGGGTCTTGTGAAAAAGATCCTGTGTCTTTCCCGTACCAATCCAGTAATCAAGCGGACACCACGTCGGGTTGGATTAATGATTTTGAATCTAATCTGCGCAGTGACGTGAACATCTCGCTTCACCCAGTACGTTATCTCGCTAATAACCAACACGAGGAACAATTTGGAGAAAACGAGAACAGACAAGAAATGCCCGTTTCCCATGGCGTTCAGTATGATAGAGATAAAACCATCGAACAGGCGATGAATTTCGGTTCTGTATCAACATGTGACAGTACAAGACAACCGGGTGTCCCCTTACAATATTCAGAAACACCAGTAACGCCCATCACAAAACGTTCACCGCAAAAAGAAAATGAACGAACACTCGACAGTAAATCAAAGGCTCAACCAGAAGATTCGCCCAGACATGAATCAAACTGCTCAGCAGATATGTCTGTAGGAGATCAAATCCTAAACCGAGGTGATTTATCCATGTATAGGTGTGGATCGGTACCAGAAAGCAGCGCTCGAGACGTTTGTGACGCTAGACCGGCACGCGACAGTTCGTTAGGAAGAGGTTCTCAGGATATTTCGGCAGAACTAGAAACAGAGCCACGAGTTATATCTGGATCGGAAGGGAGAACGGGTAGCTGTGATAGAGACAACTCTCCGCGTGGTGCTATTTATAGTGTTGGCGGCCGTAAAGAGTATAATATGAACGAGGATACGGATATGGAAAACAGGGATTCGGATTGTGAAAATGAAGCCACTCTAGATCCCACGGAGAACGGGAACGATAACCAGCTGGATAAACAGTCAATTAAGTGGAGGGAGGGCGGTACGGAAAATAGACATACGTCTCCAGATGCTGTGCTATGTGATGGGAATTCATGTCAAAAAGTCGATAAATTTGTAAAAATTTTAGAAAAATATCCTAAAAATAGATGCACAGATAGTATTACACCCAAATTCGCAAACGGAAAAAGAAAACAAAAAACAAGTCTTAATTCCAGGATATATGCATGTCGCTATTGTGGTAAGTCGTACAGTAGCATTAAGGCGCTCAACAGTCACGAGAAAGTCCACAAAGAAGGACCAAACCTGAGTGATTCACAAGTTCCTGGTGAAGTTGTCAATAATAAACGTACTTCATTGCTTAACACAAATCAAATTAAATTGAAGTCTAAAAAACGGGGGGAAATTTTATGTACAATATGTAACAAACAACTGCCCAGTCAAAAAAACCTACAGCGACATATGGTGTCCAAACATCCATCTGGCTTGAGCAATACAGAATTCAGTTGCGGGACATGTGGTAAAATATATCCTAGTAAACTCAGTCTACAAGTTCATGTTCGGATGCACAATGCAACTGAGCATGCGTGTCCAGTATGCAATAAACTGTTCCATCGGCCAGCGTATCTAAGGCGACACATGGTCATTCATACGGACGAAAATCCCTACCGATGTCCGTATTGTAGTAAAGATTTTACCAGTCAAAACTTGCTAAAACCACATATTCGGACCCACACAGGAAATAAACCCTTCCAATGTGATGTATGTGGTATGCGGTTCACTCAGCAGGCCCAGCTCACGAGTCACAAGAAACAGCATGCACCTGACAAGGCATTTAAATGTGATGACTGCGGTATGGAATTCATGGACAATCAGGAACTATTATCCCACATTACTGCACATGGACGGGAAGCCCACAAATGTGTCGTCTGCGGGAAAGTGTTCGGCAGAATGGAACATTTTGAGAAACACATGGATATCCATAACCGTGACCGACGAACGCATAAATGCATGTACTGTGACAGCACATTTCTGAACAAAAATGACTGTAGGATACACGAAACCATTCATACCAATGATAAAGCTTTCTCATGTGAGTACTGTGGCAAACAATTCCGTCATAAATCTGGACTAAAATACCACATTCGTACTCACACTGGAGAGAAACCGTATACATGTAAAATTTGTGGCAAAACATTCCGTACGAACTCGTACTTACATAAACATACAATGTTCCATACAGGATATCGGCCTTACAGGTGTGTGAAATGTGGAAAAGGTTTCACCTGTAAAAACGATCTGACCGCACATACGAGAACCCACACGGGCGAAAAACCCTTTGCGTGCTTGATATGCAAGAAAACGTTCAAGGAAAGGGCGACTTTGAAGAAACACTTGGTTAACGTACATACCTGTTCTATTTGTGGACATACTTATCGTAATAGGTCAGACTTAGGTATACATGTTTTGTCGCACCAAACGTCGAATACAGCGAGTCAATATGTTTCTTAAAAAAGGATAACGAAAACAGTATTTTATTCGGAACGATCCGATTACGTCTAGTCAGTTGAAGAAATACCCATAAAATAAACAAAGATATGAAGTACGAGATCTCGTGTTCTGATTTTACTAATATAGCCCCTACTCTTCACATATGGAGTTTATAAATAGAAGACGTGTAGCCCGAACAAAGTTTTAAACGTGTACCCTCAACTATATTGATAAATCTGCAAGAGTATACAGCGCAACCTGTATACCATGTTTTAAATTCGAATAGTGGCATTGTTCAGAGTACACATGTACCTGATCTTCTGAATTTTTCAGGTATCGGAAAAAAATCGAAATTGATAGATTTATGGAAGAAGTGCATCTCCCCATCTAGATTCTGACATTTCTTTCGATCGCTTCGGATTTTCCCCAGTCGCTTCCTAGGCTTCAAAATTTAGGCCCTTAGCACCTCTGATGCGTCCTACAATGGTGAAACAGCTGTATGATGTAGTTATTATTAATTGGATCTACTTTATCTACTATATTTCATTAAAAGGTGTTAATCCAACATTTGAAATATTTAAATACAATGTATTCATTGACTTAGACGAATGTGCGCCACGAATTTGCGGTAGCAGATAAATTGATTTTCTATTTCTTTTCATGTGTTGTATTTTTCGGAATGAAATCACAAGAAAAAACACGGAAATGCATTCGATTTACAACGTTGTCGCTCTTATGATTCAAAAATACACATTTTTACTTAACCTTTTGGAAAACAATGAAAGTTTGAACCACAAAAAATACATAAACCGTATTTCTCCGCAAATCTGCTGCCACATAAAATATGGAGTTTCAACAAAATGTAGAAACTCATTAATCTTAACGTTATAATGGAGATCGGAAAACAAGCTTAGAATAATTCCTTTCTCAAATAGGGGCCAATTTGTTCGACAACCTGAGAATAGATAACAAATCACTGTGTTTATCTAGAACAAATTAGAGCGAAACAGTATTGTGACTCCAACGTAGACTGGTTTAATTACACAACAATGCATTGCTTTACATGTACGATTCCGTCATTTGTGTACACACAGATTCGTTTTGTTGATCATGAATGGTTGATTATATCTTTAGATAATATCCAGGGTTCTCTTCACCGTTCCAATCGATGATTGCTAGAATGAAACAAAACACAAATATATTTTAAGTACAAATCTAATACAGTCGAACATCGTTATCTCAAACTCTTGTAACTCGAAGACCTTGTTAAATTCGAAGTATTTCGTAAGTTCCGGCCAAACTTTTCACCACCTCATTTAAGTCGAATACTCGGATAACTCAAAGTTTTCCGACGGCCCCATCGACTTCGAAATAACGTAGTTCGACTGTAATACCTAAATACTAATAGTAATGTATAAATCAACATTTTTGCATCGCTTTACATCAAACCACAATAAAGTTGATCTAGGTTTGCCAATATCTGTCTTTGATGTAAACAGACGTTTTTATCGTGAATTACGTCCCCTTACATCTGTTTAATCTTATTTTTGTTTGTTCTTTTTTTCATTTCAAAACTGTTTGAAAATATGTCCTACATTGGATTATCTTTAAGTTCACTTACTCGGGGGGAGTTGGATATGATGCCGAACACAACAACTTAACTTTAAGCTTAAAACTTAAAATCATCCGTTTGCTGTGTTTTATGTCTATTGAGAACATATTCCGTAAAATACAGTTAAAATAATATTAAGATTTCTGAAAACCAGTACTGTACACAACATAACATCAAATAATTTTTTCTCTCGGAGTATTTTATGAATGATAAAGATAGTATGATTAAGTCGTTAGAACATCACATTAACATACAGTTTCCTTTCACGTGGTAATAGCCTAATGGCAGCGAATTCAGAAGTAATGTGTACCGAGTCATTGAGGCGTATCGAACCAATCATCAGTGATTCATTTCATTCTGTACATGAAAATAAAAACATTCGAAATTGTAGAAATATGTAGAATTATTCATAACTGTAGGACCCACCCCGTTCCGGAATGAATATATGTGGCTATGCTAAAATTTTAAATCAAATTGAATGTTTTCAATTTCATGTGGTCTTCGGGGCTTCTCTAAATTGTAATTATACATGGTAAATGTTTTTCCTGACAAATCTGACCTTGTCGAAGACGCATTAATGTTTTGTAGAATAATGTTATTCGCTAAACCATTAATAGGCGATAGAAAACTGGGAGGTTTCAAGAGGAATCGAACAGAAGGAGGGGTTATTAATGTAAAATATTTTACTTACTAGATATGGACATCTCTCTTCAGCCCCGGAGCATTTCCTGGCAAAATTGGAGGTTCCATTGCAAAACCTTTCGGATAAGACGAGGAAGTTGGGTGTCGCTCCGTTGTAATCTTCGAAAGTGCGTATTACACTGTGATTGGTCAGTTTTTTTTTCTCCCGAAACCCGCTCTATACCAATCAATTTACTTCACTTGTGCCTCGAATTTTGCCAGGAAATGTTACATGGATGAGGAGAGCGAAAGTGATCGTAATTCTTTGAGTAACGAGATTGATATTCAATACATGGTTTGTTGGATATGTACCTCTGAAACATGAACATAATTGTAGGCTTCAATATTCGCCACAACCTCTGGGGGTAATTTACTTCCGGAATTAGTCGACCCTGTAGAAACATCAGGTGGCGCTGATTCTGTTACCATCGCTACAGTTGCCACCGTGGGCGCAGACTGTACAAGAACAGTTGCAGTTTCAGCGGCCGGTGCGGAGCTCTCGGTGGTTGGGGCCTTATCCACTGTTTCCGCGTTAGATGGCACAGGTTCTCCTTGGCTTGCCGCAGCACCTCCGACAACAGCACCTGCCACTAACGCCTCAACAGGAATCAAATTGCCATCTACATTTTCCTCTGAGCCATGTGAGGTGAGAGCCGACCATCTCCCCGATTCTTCTATGGGTTCTTCAATAGCGCTCTCTTGTACTGAAGCTACATCATCCTTTGACACAGCAGCCGCGACAAATGGCACCGGTTCTGTATGAACATCCCGTTCTGTTGTTACGGTCTCGTCTTTTATATCCTGTTCAGTTTTCGCGGTAGGTTCTTCCACATAGACAACGGGGTTGACTTTCGATATACTGGTTTGTGTTGATTCTTTCGTAAAGTTGTCATTTTCGTCTACAGCACGTCTGTCATATCGTCCCCATCTGAATGGATAATGGTTACACGATGTAAGGACGTATCCAACCTTACCATTATACTGTGTCCACTTTTTGTTCATATATGGTTCGGTACTCGTATTGTACTCCCTATACATCGGCTGATACTCACTTTTGTGGTACTCCTTATACACGTGCTCTTTTACTTTTATATCAGGTCCCGTGGGCAGTGTGTAACACGAGTGTAAATTGCCATATCTCTTCTTTACTTTTTTCCGAACTTCTTTAGGTGGCGGGGAAGGGTGGGTAAGTCTTAGAGTTTTGTTCTTTGTACTCGTTGTGTAGTCATGGTACTCAGGTCTGTAAGATGACTTATACTCTTGGTAAGTGTGTACGTGGATGTGATTGTACTCGTGCACTTTCCGATACTCGTGTACTCTATCATAGGTGTGTGGCTTGTACTCGTGTAGTTTACTGTGGTAAGGTTTCCAACTGTCCATGGCAGATCTGGACCCAGGCAGTGCCCGGAGTGACTGTCACGTGACGTCGACGCTGCTGTTTCTCGTCAACTGTGTCGTCACTGACAAAAACAATAAATAAAGAAAATAAATGATGACAATAAATAGATAAAGCAGATATACTGAGTAACAAGAAATATGTGTTTTAATTAAAGCTATTTTTTTGTTATTTACATAAACATAAATGGATACAAGCATACATCCACAGTTTAGCAAATATTACCATTTTACTGCAAGTATTTCACACATGTATTATGTATATTTAAAAATCATCTAAAAAATTTAAAAAAAAAACTCGTCACCTAGTAAAGTCATATTGCTCTTGACTCCTTAAATAGTTATTGAACACGTGACCATTTTGTTAGATTAAAATTAATATCGAAGTACTTTACGAAAAAGAGAGTATATAGTTAAATTATTTATGATGTATCGTATTCTGTATCACGACTATAAAATTTTTTTTATTAAACTTACCCTTTCACAATCTTTTGATATAAGATTCAATAATGATTTTCAAAAGCTGTGTAACGACTTCATCAACACACTTTTGTTTTATAGATTTTAGTGTAGACAGTCTGATTTCAATCCAGTTTCAGAATATTCCGAGAAAGTACAAATCATTCGGGGTCGCAGCTTTGCAAATGAACCTCCAATCACTGATGATCCTTTCTAAACTACACATGTAACCAACCCCAGACATTTAACTTCAACAGGCACCCATCCGTGTCGGAGTGATGGGTTATTTATATAGCGTTACTATTTTCCCATTCACTGACGTTTACACTTGTAAAATTCGTCGTCGGCTGTAGTAGATTTCTCATGGTCTCAGAGCGAAGTAATCAAATGTCTGTTACATTTTACATGTGTCCGCAGCCAAAAGGACAACGAAAATGTCTATCTATAGATAACCTCATCACGCCCCGTCGTTATATATATTTGTTTAAGTTCTTTAATGTCGGTATGGACTTTGAAATATATTTTGGTTTTCAAAAGATAGTCTTGCCTTTGTGATTTGAGTTTGGTATTATTATTGAAACGATGTATACAGAACACACCACGACCGAGTTTTGCGTTGTACCAGGTGTTAAATGACATATATAGATGGCAATTTAATATTCTACATTGATTGCCTTATATCCCCATCACGTGGGTTGAAATTATTAACCGTAATACAACGTGTACATCCTCGTCGAGTGTACTGCAGACTTACTGAAGTTCAATTCATGTTCCTAAGATATTTTTGTAGGTATTTTTTTCATGATTTTAAATACTTTCGCAATATTGTTCTCCGTTTAGAAAGTTATTAAAATTGATATTTCATCTTTTTGAATATGAATTCAAATATTGATAAATGTAAATCCTTAAAGCGATCGAGGGAGTCTTTTTTTCAAGAGCGGTCAGTTTGCAATCCGTTGATGTGTTTT